CTGTTTTCACTCAAAACAAACTACTTTTACTAGAATAGATCGTCATTCACTGTAGGTTTTTTTAGAATTGTATGTTTGAAGTGTGGACATCTGTTCGGACAATCCTGTATTGAAAGGTGGATTCGGACCGAAAAAGTTGGAAAGTGTCCACAATGTAAGGCTAAAGCACGACTTACTGATATACGCCGCTTATATGTACGGGCTATAAAGGTAATTGACATTCTTAAGACACTTCTGCTTATTTGAATTTTCGAAGTAGTCCATTTTTTGGTTTGAGTTTGAAAGTTCATTTGTTATGCAATAGAAAGTAAGCAATTGAGGCGTGCATATTAGAATACCAAAAGTTGCTTTTTCACTCTTTGTGCGATGACTAGGTATTGAAAGGATATGTAGCATTCATACGATGATCAAGAACGAAATTACAGGCACTTGATACAACGGAACTGGAATGTTTAAAACAGGTAAATAACGCATATAGGGCCGAAAACGATAGCTTACGTGTTGAAAATCAGCGTTTAAAAGAAAAAATTATAAAAGATGGAAAGCATAACCCATACAAGGTTGAGATGGAAAGATTAAGCATTGAAAATGCGCAGTTAAAGGCGAAAATAGCCGTTCAAGAGAAGCTTGCAAGCAAATTGCGGTAGGTTGCTTTCTTATTCAAATTTCTGTTGTGACGACTTGATAGTTTTGACCTTGACTGAAATGAACTGCTAGTAATTAGCTAGAAGCAAGAACTTGGGGATGCAATAGGCAACTTATTCGCTCTCCATTTATTTATATCGTATCGATTTCAGAGGTTATAGAAATCTACCTGATATCTTACATTCTTGAAAGTTTTACTATAACTTAATCAATAAGTCTCATTTTTTGGTTAAATTGAGGAGATGTTGGTGTTTTTTTTCTCTGATAGATAAGTGAAGTTATCATTTGATAAGAAAGCAGGATTCACACTAATAAGCTTCAGATGGATCATGCTAGTTTTAGATCGACAGCACCCCCTGCTGCTAAAATGATGAAAGGTGCTTATTTTTCATTGCTCGCGGGCCCGACTCTTCATTTGTCATCAGAACCAGGTTCTCGATCGCTAGATGCTAATGGCGAATATTTTGTAGTGGCTTGTAAAGTTAGAAACGATCTGTTTATGCCCTATGGATTAAAATTGGTCATTTATTAATTTATTTAAATTGCCTTCTTTTTGCTAATGTGAAAGGTGTGGCACAAACTTTTTCGATTTTTTTTTTTCTATTCTCTTAGGCAATATTTTCACCCTCCAGGGAGTAAGGTTAATTCATCGAAGATTTGTTGATTAATTGATCGCTTCTTTAACTTCCGTATAGTTTTCCTTCATTACTTATCCTTCCGATATCGTCTTCACATATAAATTGTAAATGTATGATATTATTGTTTGTCGATGAGTGGTTTACTAAATGTTCAGCTCCAGTTTATTTCAATGCTGCAGATCACAGCGGGTGGTCGTGATGATACGGTAATTCCAGTCCATAGCAGAAAACCTCGATGTTGTAAATTTTCACCTTTTGATTATCACATAGTGCTATCGACTGGAGAAGATCATACACTATGTGTTACAAGGTTTGTTGATTATAGTGATTGAAATAAAAGAAGTAAATCAAGATTCTGGGTAATTTTGGAATTATACTGTTTTCATCTACAAATAGAACGTTGAAGATTCCACTAGTCAGCCAGAATGATCTATACCTCCATGATACTGCTCAAATGCAACAGTTTCAAGGTGAACGATGGAAACCATCATCAGTTTTTGGTATAAAGTTAATTTTTAGCTTTGACGAACATCCGAGAGTCCAACATCGTATTCCTCTACCGTCTTCTGGTTGGTGTTGTTGCTGGTTGAGCGAGAGTGATGTAGCAGTTGGTCTGATTAATGGTGAATTTCAAAAATTCATCCGTATAAGATTTTCTTTATTATCATTGCAGCAGCCTCTTAGTTTTTGCAATCCCTTTATTAATTACTAAATGCAGTATAAATTTTTCCTTTACTTTCTTATCTATTTTAGGTAGAGTTTTGAAATTCAATCTTTACAACCCAGCAGTTGAGCCTCTTGACATAACTTTCCTCAGCGGACATTTGCCTATCATCAGTCTGCAATTTTGTGCGAAGAAATCTTTGCTTTTCGTTACGTCGTTGAAAGAATGTATACTTTATCATCATATGCAACCACATGTTTTGATATCTGATCAAGGTGAGTGTTTTTATCTTTTTTAAAAGTATGTTTATATTTCTAAATTTTTAATTTTAATGGTTTAATTTCACGTCAATTTCAGGTTCTATAAATTCGTTTTGCTATGATCAGGAAAGTGGTAATGTGATGCTAACATTTGCTCCTAGTCAGCAACATGAAACAGTAACTCATGTTTTGTACTCTTTGGACTTAAACAGCGAGCAGAAGAAAGTACATCACATTCATACATACAGAAGTCTTTCGAAAAAACTTACACGTGTAATCAAAAATGCATTTTGGACTACGCCTTATGGTCAACTTGCCGCAGTTTATGATGAATCTAATTCGCATGTGGTTTGCAATTCTTACAATTTTTTGTTGCTCATAATTTGTTGAAAGCGATTTTCAGAAAAGAGCTCATGATTCCTCACTTATTTTTAGGTTTCAATCTTTCAAATTGTGCTTAATTTTATGTTTGTTTGCTGTGCGAGTGAAAGAAAATTCAATTTTAAGGTTCTTTATGACTGGAATCGCAAATGTCCGGTGGTTATGAAACGTATTAACGATATCATTGTTGACATCAAAGAAATTGTAACCAGTGACATGCAAAAATTTCAGTTGGGATGTTTAAGTGAAACAACACTGTATTTCCTTGAAGCACAATATTAAAATTTCATTTCTATGAGTGGTTCAGTGGTATTTTGTAATCCAAAGTAAGTTCCCTTAAACCCGAAGGTCTGATTTGATTTGACAGTTTATCTGCATTCGTAGGCGCGAATAATGTACAACGAAAAGTTCGTTCGGTTTTTCTTCTCTCGTGATTTAAGATTGTGAATGTCTATCAGAGTTATATGTGATAGCAGTTATCTATCATTCCACCATGTTTATTGTTCATATCACTAACCTATCGTTTCGTAATACCTTATTCTTGATAGTGCTTAGCAATACAATACTTATTTTCCCATACGGTTTCCGCAAAAGTTTACCTCTTCAAATATACTTTTAGCTTCTTTCATTTTTCTTAAAATATGTGCTACACTACGTTTCAAGAAACTCCCACGTGCTATTCATCGATGTTCATCACTGACTGTTCCTGACTTTTTATTATCGTTGAAGTTCCAACTAGTACAAATATTCCATGCATTTTTTAATTTTTGGTATGAGCTTTCGTAGAACTAATTTCTATATTTATTTTATTTTACTTTGTTCATTTATGGGTAAAAACTTTTTCCCCGTGCAATTCCGTGTTCCTGAAGTTTTTTTATATAATTGTTCTGTGTTTCCCAACAGTGATTTTCTACGATAAAATTTAAACAAATATTCTCCACTTTCAGTAAATAAAGAGCACGAGTAATGCCATTTGAAGAGTAATTGTAAAATGTTCTCTTCACAAGAAATTTGTTGTAATTGGATATATCCCGTAGGGGTTTCAGGTCTGCGTCTAAGGTAGTTCGTCATATTATGCCATACAAAATGAAATGTTATTGGAGGAACTCTGTTTCTGATATTCAAACTTGCACTATTGTCCAAACACTCAAATGACTACGTGAGTGCAACCATAATTGAAACGTGTTGTTGGGATGCATAAAAATAACGCATTAACGAAAAAATAGCCAAAAGTAATTATCTTGCCATTCACAACGTCCTATGAATATCCGCAACAATGGCATTACTGCACATAGATATCCTGGAAATGGCTCGTTTCGATTATTTTACTCTTTATTCTATCTGTCAATTATGCAAACTGTAGATGATTGATTTGAAAATGTGAATATTTGTTGAACTGAATAGGACAATGATATTGGTACGAATTAAATAGGTCAAGTGAGGATGGCTGAGAGAAAGAGCAATTAAGATATACATGTATGTAATAATTGGACTAAGGTAATATGCTCAGTCGATGATAGAACTTTACCTGGAAAAGATGTTTGCTTCTTTCTTTTTTTGCATCTTTTGCTCGGTCTCCTCGGCAACAGGTGTATTACTTTAACTGCTTTGCACATAAAATTTTCACCTTTTGCAGCCTTTTTTATATTTTTATTGATAACGTCATGTTGGATTTCATCACTTATATTTCAGTAAACAAATCAATCGTATGTTGCTTTCCGATTCACTTCCTGATCCATCAGTTTAAAGAATTCGTCCTCGTTTTGTTCATTTATGTTTGTGGACACTAATCATTATTCAGTATAAATTTATCATTTCAGGAGCTTAATAATAATTGCTTCAATCAATACTATAGTTTACTGGGAATTTTAGCCAAGAAGCGTCATGTAATATGGTTAAAATGAATAAATGCTAATGCATTGTATGAATTCGAAATTAAAAATGGAAAAAAGCAAACCAAAAACATAAAGGTTGGATTATCTTCAGTGCAACAAATGTCTACATTAGTTTGTCCTAATAATTGTATTATACTGATGGCCTTTTCTTTGCATTGTACTTTACCCAATAGCTTTCTTGCAATAATAATATTTGCTTGGATTTGATGGGGCAGTTGAGTAATAAATCCAACTTAAAGCTATCATCGTTAAAATCGAAGTTGTCAAATACTATGGAACGCATATCATAATTTTCATTAGGACAATAATAATCAAATAGAGCAGCAACAGCTCTTTACTCGGACTGTCTGATCCATTATATTTTTATTAATGATAATATTTAAGGAAAAAATGTCTACTTAATAATTTTAGATATTCTTATGACTGCAATAAAATGACAAACAACGCTCAATGAAGATAACCAATTGATCATTTCTTTCTTTCTCTGTACTGCATTAATAATATTTACTTGGATTCGATGGGACAACTAAAGAGCAAAATTTTGCACCAAACTGGAGGAGAAGATATTGACAATTTAAAAGAAGATCCTGACGATCAGTGGTCGAATTTATATCGTGAACGTAAAAAGAATCACCTTTACAAATGGGTTGGCATGCGCAGTGGTAAATATTTTCAAAGTTTTCATAAGTTATTTGCCGTGTTCTACCATCAGAATTCTTTGCTTTTGTGTAATCATTTAGATATAATGAGAAATAATTAAGCATGTATAAATTATTGGCTTACAGTAAGCCTTGTTGAAATGAAGTGTACTCATTGATGACCATTATGTTTATATCTTGTTTTTCATGATATACATTTTATAAGATTTCGAAGAGTATGATATAATGTGATACAGTTTATTACTATCAAATGATTGCACTATATGATTACAATTGCATTCTTAGCTAGACAAATAAGCGATCATTTGCACTCTTAGTTTGACAAATATTGAAAGATAAAGAAAAAATCAAGTTTCAAACACTAATCTTTAATTACCCCTAATTAAACCCTTAATCAGTCTTATGCTAATGATTCGTAAAGAGACTGATTACTTACAGGTGGTGAACTGTTGGCTGCTTTTGAAAAGGAAGGTGAAGATGGAGTTTTAAAGTTTGCGAACGAAAAGCTTATTTCAATGATGTATGATGATGGTGCATCACCGCAAATGATTCGTTTTACAGACTATGCAAAATGGAAAAAGACAACTGCACGCTTTTTTTTTTTTTTGGTTTTTTTAAATCGCATTATTTTCGCATGACGACTGTAGAATTATGGATAAGAATCACTTAAATCACCTAGCTTAACTGATTTAAACGATTTTCATCCACAGTGGGTGTTATTCCGACTCTATTAGTTTCACATGAATCTTCACATTCTAGTAATTGGACCGTTCTGCTTTGTAAACGATTACTGGTCTGATTTCTGTTTCGTTTTTTCTCGATTTGTTTGGAATTTTTGTATCGTTACAGTTTCTCCATTAAGATAAATTGAATTTCGCATATATGTTCTGTATAATTTTTGGCGGTTTCTTTTTGTATTCTCATTTAAAAATGGAAGCAAACAATTATAGAATGTGCAGCTGGGTAAAACAGAATCAAACTCTGTTGGCCAATTTGGTAGCAAATTCCGTGAACATCTTGGTCAGTGGAGGTTGAACAAACGTGGTGTGGAAGGTGAGACGATAATACACCTTTTGCTGAATCGTGAGGAACCAATGTGTAGTGAAATTGCTAGAATTTTAATAACACGTTATCCAGGCCTTGCTAATGATATTTACCTCGGCGACGAAATGTTCGGTAAGCATATGGTAACAAAGTTATTTAAAAAACTTCATTTCCACTTGATATATTCAATTATTTGTTTTTTGGCCTTGTTAGTTTTCAATTTACAAGCTTGTAAAACATGCAGAAGCTTCTTTTTTCGTCCATTTTCAATTATCTTCTATGCAGTTAACTTCTCATCGAATCCACTACTAAAATATAGAGAAATCTGAACGAATTTATGCTTTTTATGACTTGATATAAAGCTGATTAACCGACATTTTAGGTCAAAGTGCACTGCATTTAGCAATTGTTCATGATGATTATGAAACTGTTCATTTATTACTGCAAAACTCAGCAGAAGTGAATGCCCGGGCTTGCGGGACATTTTTTCTACCTGAGAATCAAAAGACATCTCGCAAATCAACTGATTACCAAGGTACTTATTATTTCAAGACTAGTTCATAGAAAAAGTTTTTATGCAGTAACGTTTGGGTTTCAGGATATGCCTATTATGGCGAATATCCGTTAGCATTTGCTGCTTGTTTTGGCAATAAAGATATCTATGATTTACTGATACAATATGGCGCTGATCCAAATCTACAAGATATGTTCGGCAACACCATTCTACATATGTGTGTCATCAACTATAGCAATGTAAAATACATCTTCCAGAATTTGCAGTGATCTTTACATTGTTTTTTCTCGTATTATCGATTACCACAACAGGTGATTGATAAGTTAAACTGCACTAAGAAATCTCCTTAGTACTGTTTTGATGATATAGAAGGATAATGATATTGACGCATTATAGTCAATGTACAGTTATGCAGTAAGGCATTGGGCGAAACCCGCTGATCCAAACATTGTAAATGCAGCTGGTCTGACACCATTGACGCTTGCAACAAAACTTGGACGAAAGGATATCTTTGAGGAAATGCTGGAGTTGATGAAAGTCGTATGTGCTTTCACGGTTACACAGAATTAATGATGTTAAACTTCTCCGGTTTTGAATTGGGAGTTTGGATATTTCAGGAGTTTTGGAGATTCAGTGATATGACGTGTAGTGCATATCCTCTTACAGCTTTGGATACTATTCGCCCCGATGGCTCAACAAGTTAGCACTTTACTACTATTCATTTGACCAATTTGTCATGCATATATTCGGTTAATTCGTTGTGCAAAAAAAGAAACTTCATGTTAAACCAATTTTTACTTAATTTATTTGGTAACTAGGCTGTTTGATTTGACCAGTGTAATATCATCTGACAAACTTTTTTCATTTCCTTATAACTTCGGTCTGGTCTGGTACTGAATAGTAAATTGGTACTGTTTCCAGTTCTGATTTTTAATTACAGATTATGATTCAGCGTTGATGACTGTGATAAATGGTAGTACCAGTGAACATTTAGATATGATTGGTAGCGAAGTGATCCAACGACTTCTTGCTGACAAATGGAAAGCTTTTGCATCAGTATGCATTTTCGAATCATCACTAATCAGATTGTCTTATTTTCTTTTGAACATTGATATCCAGTCATCTCTAATGAAAAGATAGATACTTTTAGATTAAGTAAAAGTGGTTTACTACTTGCAGAGAAAATTATTTGAAAGGCTTGGATTGCTCATTTTACATCTCATATTTTTATGTTTTGTTGTTTATATGCGGCCGTCTGAACCGGAGCGACTTATGTATAAATTAATTGCAACAGAATGGAATGATTGGGTATGCTTTACATCACTCTTTTTTATTTATACGAATTTGTGTTCCTTTGTTATATTAAAAGCTAATCTAATCATCTTATCACTTTATCGTTAAAAATGTGTGGTGATTATTAGGCAGTGGCGGAAAATTTATTCTGGTAGCTTCAAGTAAATCATGAATACAATGATTTACTCGAAAGTCTGGGGTTGAATTAAGCAAAATATTGCAAGTGTTAGCGGCAAGCCCTCTTTAGACTATGTATTACCATATTTAGTGTGCGAATGCAAAGTTTTCGGACAATGCGCTCTAAGGCGTAACCGGATATTTCGGGCGATCCTGATAATTCAATATTTAATTTCTTGCAGGTGCGGTTATGCTTTGAAATTCTAACGATAGCCAGTTGTGTGTTCTTCGTTTTCTTTCAACAGTTTAGCGAACTAAGAACGCAGGGATTTTATGGATATATCAGAAATCTGGTAAACTTTTCCTGCACCAAAAGTTCCACCTACCTTCTGTGGTTCTTTTGCAGTAATAGTATTCCTAATTACTCATTATTAATATTATCATTTTTGTTCCATTAAAGAAAACGGCTCCAGCTAAAATTGTATTTCTTGGTGCCAATATATGTATTCTTATATGTGTACCCTTTCGTATATCGGGCAATGTTCAAGTTGAAGAAGCTTTATTAGTCTTTTCATTACCGGGTTCTTGGATATTTTTCCTTTTCTTTGCCAGGTAAAAAAATTTTTTGAATTTAAACTTTAAATATTACTATTTTCAATTTTCAGTAGATTTTGTTAAGAGGGCATTAAGTTCAGTTGAAATTAATGGAAATATTGTATCAATTTTTTATCATTCATTTTATATGTATTTTACAATGAACTTGTCCTCAGTAAAAAAAAAAAAAAACAAAAGTTGTTTGCAGAAGTGCCAAATTAACGGGACCATTTGTGCAAATGATTTATAGTATGATTGCTGGCGATATGATTCGCTTTGCTATCATTTCCGCTATATTTCTTGTCTCATTTTCGCAAGGTCTTGTTTATATTCTATTTTTAAAATGCATTTCATCTAGTCAATTGTCATTTCATGTTTGTCCATTTATTTAGCACGAGCCATCGCTGGCAGCCAAATATAGTCATTTTTCTGGAAAGAAAATTATAATAAGCTTAGGCTTAGGCTTAATGCGAATTACAAGATTTTTAATTGTTGACATCCTACAGGATTTCTTAATTGATTAATCACTGATGTTGCCTCTTCACGTGCTACTTATTTTCTTCTGTTCCAGTATTTTATTTTCTGGGAAAGGATATGCACGTGAAGCAAGAGCTCAATCCGCTGAATCCAGACTACTGCGAAGTGAAAGGCTATGATATCTTCACGTATTCCTCATTTCTAGAAACATTTATTACACTGTTTCGTGCTAGCATGGGTGGCTACGATGTAAGCTTTTTGTCAGTTTTTCAAAACTTCAGAAATAACTGAAGATTGCACCCTGGAAATGATCCAGCTATCGTTTATTTCAGTATGAGGAATTTTCTTGCGCTAATTACGAAGTGTTAACAAAAATATTATTCGTACTTTATATGTTTATAATGCCGATCATGTTGATTAATATACTGATCGCCATGATGGGTAATACTTATACAACAGTCATCGCACAAGCTGAAAAAGCTTGGAGGCAACAGGTCAACATTTTTCTATCGTTTGGAGAGAGAAAACAAACTTCTTGTAAAGGCGCTATGAAGATTTTTCAAAAATTAATGTCAACAAGAAAAATTATATTACTTTATGTCACTCTCATTGAAACTTTCTTGAATCTTTCACTAACTGCTGGGTAGTGTTCACGAATGAATCATATTCCTGGAACACTATTAAATATTTAGATCTCCAAATAATTGAATTATCCATAATCCATTCGAATAATAAATGAAAATACATACATCGTATTACTGTAGAATTCACACAGAAATGAATGGTGCAATATTCCAAATGAGATTAATACTTCTTCAGTACGCGCAAATTGTAATGGTATTGGAAAGATCGGTGAAAAAGGAAAAATTAGCAGCATGTCAATTAGAGTATAGTATTAGACTTAATGAAGCTAATGATGCTGGTATGGAAATACGTGGTCTAATGGTCATCAAACAGACAAAGAAAACTCGAGCAAGACAAAGGAAGCAAGCTATCACTAACTGGAAGGTTATTCAATATTGCTTTATTCATTTCTTAATTTTACTTCAATATTTACTTCTTACTTCGTTACCTAGTTTTATTACATCAAAGACTTTTACAGACAATTGGTCGAAAAGTAATTCATACTGTGGAAAGGTTGGGTGTTGGTTATGCACAGGAATTACTTCATTCATACAACTGTTTAATTGATGAACCAGCTGGTGCTGTAATACTTAGACGAGATACTGTATTTCCACCACCAACAAGGTCTATGGTAAGTTAAAAATAGCCGTTTAGGAATTGCTTATTATTTATACTGATTTTTAAATATATTTTAGTATTGATATTTTAAACTTACTTTTTTATGGAAGTAGACATTTGAATATTTCTACATATATAGTAGTAGATATTTTCCATGTGGTAATCATTACTAGTAATAACTTCTTTTTTCACTTCAGACAAGATCACGAGCTCATGAAACCTCAACAAATACGCAAAATGAAGAAAAAATCGAACATTTAAATAATATCTCAATCGAGAAAGAAATAATCGTAAATAATTGCTCCAACCAAACGTCTCTCCAATGTCAGTCACCGCGAGATTTTAGTGAGTATTCAATATACGTAGACAAATATCACTCACTATATATTATGATAAGTTATATTAACATGCAGTAAGCAGTATTTATGAAAGCTTTACGTGAGCTAGGAAGGCACTACCATGTGTTAGTCAGCTAATGGTGCATAAATAATCAGTGGACGGATTAATCAGTTCCTCGATTTTGTTAGACTGATAGTATTTCATGCTGTTATAGGTGCTTAAACTATGTAAATTATTCTTTTCATTTTGGAATTAATAACAACCGAACAAAGCACAACTATGATTCTGGAGAAGTTGCCAATGCGGAAAACGGCACGAGGACATCAGTTGGTTCCATCGTTAGACATACCGAATATGCCAGCTGCTGGAACACCACCACGAGCAATATCACCGAGGATTCGAAAAGATATGTTTCGGCGCAAAGACAGTTTCTGTGCGAGTTCATCATCTGCCAGCTCCAGTACGCAGGTGAGAAAGTTCATATTTAAATTCATGTAGAACTGGTTCTCAACAAGGTCGGTAAGAGGATACATTATTTTGGATTTTTATTTCTTCTTCAAATGTTTTTGTTGTATGAAAAATTTAGATGTGAGACTTTATTTGATTCTTCTGCAAGTGCCAAGGAGAACAAAATATTAATTCAAAAGACTGATTCACTTCTACCAAATCAATTATAACAGTCTTACCATTCCAGACAAATAATTCTTCCTATTATCGCTTGAGTGACTACATTGTAGTTTGTCATTTAAACCTATTGTTTTGCTGTTGATCTTTACTGCTACCATAATTATAAATCAAATTTAGGTTTGACATCAAGGATAAATAATACGTCAAAAAATGTAACAGTTGCAGTCAACTTCAATTTCAGTGGCTGAATTTATGATGTGTTCTCAAAATTGTTTTAATTACAATTCTTCTAATGCCAGTTTGTTTGCCTTATCAATAAAAAATTTACGAGATAGTATACAACGCTGAAGAAACAAGTCATTTTGTATTTACAGATCGAAGCATTCCCCATTCTTTTATTAATTTAACTTTTTGGGGATGGGGAAAAAAAAACAGGTCCATCGAATATTGACTCGTGTATCATACTGCGCTTAAGCTATGCTTTTCTACTTTTTTTTTCTACGCTTAAGCTTTTCTACTTTCTACGTGAAATTTCTACTTTAAACTTTCCACTTTTTAGTAGAAAATGAGCAATTCTAAGTAACGTTTAATTTGAAATCCCTGAGTAGAATGTGTATGAGTTCCAACTGTCAACAAAAGTACTCTCTATTAACATAGTTAATTGCAACAAGCGGATCTTCGGGACGATTCGGACTGCAATATGCTAAAATATCTTCGTTCGTTTTATACACACCATCGGGCTGATTTCGAATCCAACATATCACAACAGTAAGGATAAGTAGAAAGAAAAAGCAACCCGTAACTGCACCAATTATTACTAAAAACAACTGACAAATTAAAGAATATATAAGAATGTTGTGATTCTTCGGTCTCTGTCATCACAGAAGAAACAATAGAAAAAAGTCAAGAGGAAAGTTGTCAACCATCAGACAACTGATTCTTAAAACTTACGCGCTAAAGTTAGCGAAGAAATGCGAGGTTCAGTGATAGCATTGATGTGAGTGTTATACAATAGTGATTTTCCTTCCTGTTCCAGCACTTGATTAAAAAACCTGAATTGTGATAAATTCAGAAAATTCACATTGGGAAGAAATAAATGTTAGCTACAATCCTAATGTTTATCAAGTAACGTATGGTGATGACTTTATAGATTATAGTGCAAAGAACAATAAACAACAACGTTTGTTGTCTTAACTGTCTTCAGAAATGTCGATTAAAGTTGTACTGTTTCTTGAATTTCTTGCTTCAGAAATGCGAAATGTCAAAAAGTAAGGAAAAGAATGAGAAACTCACATATAGTTATACGAACAGCCTTCGAATCGTACGCCACCTCTGTACAAAAAACGTGATGATGATGGATCCTTCAGAGGAAAAGCAACGCCAACTTTTAGCCTCATCAAGCAGCCCGTAAAATCTATTATCAAATAGAAATTACTTACAACTGATAGTGATGTAGATAATTGTAAAGGAAATCTCAGAAATATCAAATATCATTAATAATATAGGGGTTACTTTTATCAACGAATTTCCAAACATTGAATTGTACAAAGAATGACCAATTACCAGTTAAATGAAAAACAACTTCATCGTTAATCTGCAAAATCCTTATTCCTTAAACAAGTTAAGTACAACAGTTGAACCACATTGTTGAAAAGATCAAAATATTATAGCTACTAATAACACACCAATGAAAACACGTCCCACTTCTAAGACCTAGTGGTGCTTGTGTTATCGTATTTCTACCATGATCTTAATTACTGTTTTACCCAATTCTCTTCTATAACTCTTCTGGTAATGTTAAATCGAAAAGAAAAAAGGCACATTAAGCTAGCGCTGGAAACTTTTTTATAGCTTTGAAGACATTTTCAGCCTACCTGAAGTGTAAATTCATTGTTTTCGGCACAAAAATTGACATCAGTGAGTTCATTATCGTCAAATTTATGTATAGTATCTGCCGCTTTATAATGAAAGAAAAAGCCATCGAAAACTGATAATTCAAGATAACCTGCAAAATAAATGACGATAATTAACAATTTCTTGAAAACAATCTCTTTATAATAAAACTGTACTCAGTTCATCCAAATTTTCACTGCATCAGGTTTCTAAATAGTTAAGTTATTTGCACTCAAGGATATAACAGCATCTGAAATATAGGTCATTAAACCTTTCATTTGCTTTATTAACCTCTTGGTTCTAGTTGTTTAACAAACTTAAATGTTCTAACCTACCTGAAATATTTTCGTGAACTATCTCCGTACTTTGAAGGCAATCGTAAAGGATGGTAGGATTGTTGCCGCATTGAAAAATTTTACTTTTTAGTAACCAATTTCAGAAATTAAAAATTTATATATCAAAATGTAACCTTTCTGATTGATTGTCAAGTTAAATTGACAGTCTGCGAACAGTGCCTTTGCTCTTATCAGTGAATAATTAGAGGAAAATGATTGTACGGCTATCCGGAAACAAGATGATATTTGAGCTGGATGCTGCCATGGAATCATTAGTTCAGAACCTTTCGGCACAAATATACCAACATCTATGAATTGGTTTTATTTCTTACGAAATGATCAATTAATCCTTTACTCACTTTTAGTATTTACTACATCCTGGAAGTGCCTATTTGCTAACAATTGTTTGAAAAACCAATCAAAAATTCAATAGTCTAGGGAGCAAAAATTACCTTGGTCACATCTTTGACCAATGAACGGAGTATTGTTACAATTGCATTTGTGACTGTCATAAAATTCAATACACTGACCATGATTTAAGCAATCATCAAGCTTGCATGTGCCTTTTTCACCAAGTTCGATACCCTAGATAAAGCAGAAAGCAGAAAAATAAATAAATTTCTGTAATCCCAATCATATTTATATTTATCACAAAGGATGACTAAAATTGTGGGATCAAATATGCCCAGGAAACTAAATAATCGAGTATTATATGTCATCTCGAAATGCATTTCTCAGTGATAAATTTAATCTAGTAATAAAACAAGTCAAAAATATCAATTTCGCCTTCCAAAATGCTTCTCAGCCAAAATAGGACAAACCCTCATGCCTCGTCCTTGCTTTCTGACCAATGTACGTAACAAAATTTCATTACCACGCAAGTACATATTTCGAATCTGACCAGCAAAACCTGACAAACCACGTTCTGTTCGTGATCCTGTAATTTATCAAAATCAATTGCAAAATATAATACAAGGTTGGAGGAAAGAAAAAAGAAAATGCTCCACCTATAACCCAAGTGTAGACATCCGGCGGTACAACATAAACATCCACTGAATTGCTTTCGTTATCAACGTTCAACATCATCCCATTTATGTTCACTTCCCAGTACACTCTATGCCATCTGTTATCATTTACACGCATTTTTGACTTGATTTCAAAAGCCTTGCTTCCACTTACAACTTGCCCTACGAGATGTCCATCTGAAGATTCATCATTCAACATAACACAATTTCTTGATCAAAAATCATTTCTCAAAACGGATCAGTTTTATGACGGCAGAAATAAAGGGAAGGCATGAAAATGAATTACAGTTTAAGACTGAATCAAATAATCAGCTAGAGAAGCTAAAACAAGTAAATTTTCTTAAACCAGTCCTAAATTAATAACCTCCAACATCAAGTTGATACCAACGTTGTCCATTCAACGATTCCCAAATAAAAATTGTCATTCGAGCATGTGACATACGTATCTGGAACTCGAGATCCATCACTGAACCAAACAAAGCCTGTGAACCAGCCAAACGAGCATTTCGATTCAGAAATGTTATTCCATTGAACACATCTGCATGAAAAAAGTTATCATTAAGATGTGGTTGATATAGGCTAAATGAATTATTAGGAAGCAAAGAATTCATTCTATTGAAGGTACCGTTTTTATTCAAAATATTTGATTTATATGAGAAACAGTCTAAATTAGCAAAGGTACACTTACGACGTTGGCTACAAATAAGAGGGCCAATAAAAACATTTATTGAAGATGTATCTGTTGTGCCTCCAAGATATAAATTCATCACTGGTAGTAACTGCATGTGAGGATTGTAGCCTTCATCAACACTATCTTCGCCGCTATCACAATTGCACATTCTGAAAAGCGTTACCAGTTAAATTCCTGATGCAGTGTTAACTTATACAAAATATATTATGAACGATCAGAGCTCATTTATTGCCTATGCAAAGTTTATTTATTAAACAACAAAATAATCAGCATATTCTAAGTGTAATGAAACCTGTTGTCTATGCAAGATGAATTAGATGCACATTGACACATCCTTGAATAAGGTAGTGCATCACCCCACTGCATTGCATGCTGACCATTTCGTGTACTATACCAAGATGATGGCCTTCGTTCCACACCGTAACTCATCAATTTCGCACCTCCACGACATTCGTAACGCATATACTGCAAGTACAACATCTGTTTGAGTAATATCAACAACGAGATTTACTGAAACCACCGTTTTTTGACTTCTTAATCTTGTAGAAATTCGAAAGAAAAAGGACAAAATTAATTTGATAAAATAAAGTTGTACAAAGAAAAGTATACCTGCACACAAGTTTCAAATCCATCGATAAAATGATTTAACTGATCAATGGTAATACCATAATCAAATGATCTTTTAATGGAACCCGGTTCATTATCTCCAGTAATCGCTATATCATTATTTCCAAATTGGTGAAATATTTTCGAGATAATTTTGGTGTCACCGTAATCCTTAAAATTTTGTTCACACTGTACCATAAATGGCTCCAGTGGATTTCCACCATCCAAATCAATTGTAACATTCTTAGTTTTAATGTGCGGATTCTTCACAAAGAATTCTTCGCAGGAATGATACATTTGTGCTAAATTATTATCACCATAGCAATTGAATTTTTTATCCTTTGAAAATTTATGAAATTAGAATACGAATGTAGAATAACAATATAAAATAACACCTTATGTCATTTTTCCTGAATTATTACAAAGACTTTTGTATGTTTGATTGCAGTTAATTTATCAATAGTTATTTTAAAATTCCATTGCAATTATCTAATTTATTTCATTATGAACGAGATTGATGACTTACTTGCGTGACATTTTTTCCCATAGTAACTACCACGGCACTTACAGTGGAAATCATTGAGAGATATCTGTTCACAAATGGCATGGTTCTCGCAAGGATTTGGGAGACATCTAGAAAACAAAATTGAACTTCACCATTTTTGTAAACTTTGCATAACGTAATTGATCCATCGGCCATATATTAAATTATATATTAATCCATCGATCATATATTAAATTATATCTTCGCTAAGTTTTTTCATGTACTTTACAAAAACTCGCCCTTAAAATGTGCTATTTAAAGTCGCATTTTTAAATGTTTTTATTTTTAAAAAATTGTACTTGATACATATTAATAATACACATTAATATTCTGTCAACCTTATTTATATTCGAAAATACATTGACAAATTGATAATGTAAAGTAAATGTTAACAACCTTTCTTGAAAATGACAGGCATCCAATGTAACATTGCCAATTACGTTTGATGACTTGAAAGCTACAGTAGCCGATCTGTAGCATCCAATCGCAGATAAATGAAAATTGGTAAGCTGTTTAGCCAAATTTCGTACTACATTTCCTTCTAACAAAAATATGGTGTAACTGTCAACGTCAACATGTAATCGTGCTCCCCAAATCATCAGTGACAGAGAATGCCAACTGCCATCATTGACTACTTTGCCTATAGTTTAAGATGTCAATGAGATATTCGGAAATTTTCCTTGTTATTAAAAAAAAAAAAAAATCAGCCCCTAATAGTCCCTAATAGGGACTCTATTTCGGTAAACAATGATTAATATAAAATAATAATCACATCTGCAATCCTTAGTAAGTGAAAAATAGAAGGACAAAATCAAGAGAGCTTTAGTTTTAAAGTTTAGGATGAAGTTCAAACCTGAATGCGGTAGTTGCTCAACTTCAGACATATTAGCAAATAATGTTAAAACCAATAAGCCTTTTCTATTGAATGATATCTGCGCAAGAGATTTATTTTTGGCATCGGTTAATAATAATATCGAGCTTGACTGAGGCAAAATGCGAAATTCTATTGAAAATGGTAAAAACGAAAACGGTATTAACGCATAGCCTCCAGTCATAATGGTCATCGGTTGTGATTTCGGCATCTGCAGATAAATTTTTTTTTTTTTGTTTGCACCTTTTTTCCCAAAATATTGAAAGATTTTTTTTTTGATACTTTCCAGAATTTCTGCAACTTAAACCATTCATCAAAGCTAAATTTACTACTAAAGAAAAATAAAATGTAAATCATCCGCTATCACTTAACTTCATTTCCCAGCACAATTTTTAAGAAAAATAAATAAATAAAAAAACTTCCGCGTCATTATCAAATTCTCAATTTATGACTCGGCATTCAATGCAGACTTTTAAAATATAAAATGGGATAGAAAATTTCTGTACTTGGCAATCTTTGCGTAATGATCTAGGTGTTTCAGCCAAGAGGTCAATATTGTTGAGCATAACTCGTGCAAAACATCCATGATAGCTCGACTCAATTCCAGTAATGATATCATCTGTTGGTCGTCCAGCAACATGAATTTTTGCATCGAAATCTAATTTCCTATACAAACCGGACGGGACAGTAGTATTCATGATGACGCCGTCCACATATAACTGCACGGAATCAAATTGATGTATCCAACGGATTTCATGCCATTCACCATCGTTCAATGCTGTTCCTCCAGAGATTGTTGTTTGAGTAAATGAACCTAAAAATCCTTTTAGAAATTTCTACGATATAAGATCAGTGATGTTCACTGTTATGCTATATTTTTTCTGTTAATATATTCTTTTCTAGAAAAGTAAATTTAAACTTCAGTCAATCAATCAGTAGAGTATAATAAACTTACCAAAATCAAAAATAATAAAAATTTTGCCGTGAACAATTTGAGCAATAAGTAAATCTCCTTGTTCCATCATTGAAAATACAAATATTCCATTTTCAAATGTACGAAACACAACAATCAGATTATTTTCATACGTAGAAACAATACCAGCTTTATGAGTGTCAACGGAATACATATTATCATTGAAATAAGATATCGGCGTTGCTAAAAATATTCTTTTAAAGTATTTAATCTGTCAAATTCAGTGTTTCTAAGTAAATTATCCTAGCTATAGTTTAAATCGCTCAATTTTAATTAGTCAACATGAAATATTTCCTCCTCATCTTGTGTGAAAATTATGCTCGTCTCGTTTCCTCTCCACCCTTTTCAGCTAATACGCAACTACATGATATTTTAATATGGTAGTACTGAACAAGTTAGAAATTTTTTCCAAAAAGTTTTTTCAGCTTTTTTTTCACTTTTTTTTTTTGAAATACTTACAATACTTGCAGGCAGTAATCACAACAGTTGGAATGATATCAGTATCAGAACTATATACAGGCGCAACATAAATTCTTTTTGTAAGCACATCCAATGTCTGCCATTCCGAAGCCGTAGCCGACAGTGACGAATATAAGATCTTAATGTCTAGCAATGAAATAATGAAAATTTTTCAACAAAAATTGGTAGAATTATGAGATTGCAATTTAGTTGATTGGTTTTACTTTTTTATGCAAATTTTTCTGTTTGATGTATATTACCAATCTAATACATAGAAACTTTTCAGCATCCTTTAATGTTAAAATGTGTATTAAAATTTGGAAATTTGATATATCATTGGACATTGTTATTAAATGATAGCATCAGTCGTTGCTTCTTAAATATAAAAAAATTGTAACATGAATTTTTAAAAGAAATGTTAACTTTCAAACATACCAAAGGCGATCCGTTAGGAGTGCGTAGCTGAATTTTGGCAGTATGATCATCACTAATATCAATATATACATAAAATAACGATGATGGACCCAAAATAGCAATCCTCTGAATGATATGTAAGAAGCCAAGATCAGCGCTTGACGCAGAGAAACTTTGTTCCCCGCAATTTAAGCCATCCACCAAAGTTAAATTTGTTACTGAGAAAGCAGTCTATCATATTAAAAAAAATACTGCCAATTTTGGTGTGATTAAAAATTAAAGAAATTTATTGCAAAATCGGGATATATTAGACACTTTCAAATTGAAGGATTTAATTTGAAATTTGAACTGCAAAGAAAGTTGAAAAAAAAAAATTAAGGATGAGATAAAAGGAAAAAAGAAAAATATATCAGTGATACCTTACCTGAAAGAAACAAGGAAGTAACTATGAATAAGAGAAGAAAAAGTGGTAAACGATAGTAGGATTGTTGTAGCATTGAAATATTTAACTTTTTAGTAACCAATTTTAAAAAGTAAAAATGACCAGTACAGATAGGACAATGACCAGTAGGGAATCATTACTGGAGGCAGCACAGCTATAAGAAGCCAAGTGTACAAATAAACTACTGTACAAGTAACGTACATCATTCACAATTAAATTGGAAAGAGTCACATAAAAAAAAAAATAGAAATATGACCGTACACAGCTGTTTGCTCTGAAAGAGGCAACACAAGATAAGAAACGAGTAGCCTAGATGAAGAACTGTTAATGAAATGGCCAATGACCGAAGAAACTCCGACTTCTTAATGCTCTCTGTCCACTTTCATAGATGGCCTACTGGAAATGTGCAGCTGACAGAGTAGAATAACGAGTAACAAAGCAGCTGCAATAATAAGCTTATTCATTTTCTCTTGGCTCTCTTTGCGATGTAATGCTGCAGTTCTATCTCTGCTAAATATTTCATTCGTTCTTGGATGATAGATTTTGATGCCACAGGCTACTAATTGTCAAAGCTACCAGTCAAATGTACACATACAAATAGGACAAAAGTTCATTCATAGCAACAACTTATCTCGTCTGACCTCAATAGCTTATTGTTTGAGTCTTTCTACTTTCGGAAAAAATCGAATATGACCAATGGTCAATACTCGAAGTAACTCATTTGAAGAATGTCATCCAGCATAGGACATCAACATCCATATTCTAATCTCTCTTCTTAGCCTACTATTTGCTTTACCATATAATCGGCAATATTCCTCATTCCTCATTTTAGCGCTATTTACATCAGTTATTTCTCATTATTCCCTAGAAGAAAAATAAATTAAATTATTAAATAATTTGACAAGGTAATTATAGATGCAAATTCAGAGGAAATAAAATATAAAAGAACGAGTGACAAGAACATCGTACTAAATATTTCCCTTAGATGAATTGCTTTTCTTATTTAAAAAGAAAAGTTTAAAAATTAAGGTTAAATTTTTAAAATTTATGCAATAATGATAATGAAAGGTAAACGAATGTAATGACTAGTTTTCTCACTTCAGATATCAATAAAATCAAAGATTTACAAGCTTTTTATTCTTTGCATTTAAGTACATCTTAGCAGTTCAGTTGATTGATATATTGGAAATATATCATTAATCAGCACTACATATTTTAGTATTCCCCGTAATTACAACAGAGTCTTACTTTTCTAGCTATTATACATCATACATCTTTATGCTAAAAGAAAAATTGCAGTTTAGCTTTCCAAAGATTGAAAAACTTATTTAACATCTGTAAGTTTCACTCAGTGACATGATATATTCTTAGTAATAGTTCCTATGCGAATAAAGGGAAATTTTTTTAATGTTTGCTTTGCAATGATTATTAAATATAAAAAAAGTGAAACTGGAAACCTTAAATCATGTCAAATCATTCGTCAAAAAGCAAATAATTCTGTGAAAACATTCAAATTAGCTTAAAGATATGGTTTTGCTATCCAATATTTTATGTTAAACAGCTCATGAACACTCACAATGTTTTGTCTTTTATTAAATCACAGAACTGATAAGTTATTTATAGTGGTGAGCAATTTGCCAGTTATGCTTACATTACAAGTTGTTTCTAATCAGTTAATGATTGCAGATGCACATATCATGTGCAATGCATGACAAGTTTAACTCGAAATGATACATTTATAGACAGTCGATCTATGTAGAACACAGTCAGGTTGTATTGCTCATCAGATAACAGAAAAACATTTGCTTATGATTAACCTGCAAGACGAATAATGGTAATATCCGAAATGAGATTAATTTTGCTAGTCAGTTACTAATAATTTTCAATTAATCGGTAGCTTGTCAATATTTTCGGTTTTGTTAAAATGTACACACTTTCATCATCAAATTCAGTAATAACAGTGATGAATTAAATGTTAAGTGATTTAAATTCCTTGATAAGGACATGCTTATTTCACCAATAAGCATATACCATTGATCACTTATGCTACTAATGTATTTCATCAACATTGGTTATGCTTACAAAAAATATTAGTGTCTGCTTTTCTGATTTCAGTAATTTATCAGCTTTTAATATATTTTGATATTTTAAATTGCAAATATAAGTTTTTTTTTTTTTTTTGGACCTAATGCTTGATAATGCAATGATAGCAGATTAATTATATCAAAAAAAAAAAATGAGAATGCTAATACTTATGAAGTTATTGTTAGTAAAATGGCAACTTTTTTTTTCGACGGCTCACTAAATCATCTGATTCAGATGAATGCCTCACTGTTCAGAGAATCTAAAAGTGAAGGAACGATCTAGATAAACTGTAAGTTTCAACTTTATTAGTCATGATAAAGTGAGACGTATTTTGAATTTTAACTATGCAAATGTTGTTAGCAGTGGAAACAGGTGAAACAGGATAAAATCGTAAATCATTTAATACCAACAATGTTAGTGCAAATAACATACTAGTAAAAGCAGGTAGTAAACCTTCAACTTTACGAAAAACTGTACTTTGTACCGGCAACATTTGCAGCGAATATAACAACACACTAGCAAAATATAAATTCTCCACTTCCATCAACTGCTATCAATGATGAAACTATCAATGAAAAAAATAATTAAATGTGTACGGTATACGTTACCATACACATTTAATTATCGCATTTCTACTTAAAAACATTCACTTATAAGAGATTTCTATATCATTAACAATTGTATTCATAACAAAATAAACAGAAATATTAGGAAGAATTGCAAAATGTCGCACCAATTATAGCATCTTCCTTTCAAACTGTTGTTTTCGGTTTCACGATGTCACCAAGTGATTTTCTTTGCTTCTACTGCTACCACATTACACCAACAGGTAAAATCAATTTAACTCGACCAAGCCTTAATCGTTGCCATTATGACCAATATATGCCCATAAAACTCAAGCAATCACAAAAAACTGAATCATGAGAAGAAATTCATTAAAGGAAAGTCTATGAAGATAGCAAGAATAGTTTTAATAATGCAATTATACTAACAATTCGAAGTTTTTGAGACAATGTGAAGGGAACAATGCCATCAAGAAAAGATATATTTTAAGTTTTGTTGATGTTAGATGCTAGCAAAAATGGCGATTATAAATCAAATCAGATCTTTTATCACATTCAATGAGAATTTATTTTGTTGCAAAGATGTTCTGATGTGCAGGTAACGATGAGTTCGCTTTCTCTTTTTTAAATTTTTTTTGAAATCTCTATTCTAGATTTCTCTTCATTAATTTGTCAGGACAAGAGAGAAAGAAATTTAAGTAGCCATCCATTCGTTACCGGAAAAACATTATCCATTCTTAGTTTTCCATTAAAGATTGATCTGAAAAGCGATTATGTTCAGCATGTTGTAGCTGAGAATAAAAGCCAACAACGTTATCATTTTAATTGCTTGCATTTAATCATGGCCATAGAAGTATTGAAAAAAATAAAGAGAAAGGAAATCAAAATTTTATCATGAAGAGATCTTAAAATTTGAAATAGATTAAAAGTTTCATTTCTGTAACTTTTTTCTGAAAGCTACCGTATTAAGTGACAAATATGTTTACCTTGATAAATGACTACAAACAGTCACAAATTGACTTTATTGAACTTTTTTTTATTAAGTATCTCATTTCCCATGATCTATTGTTTCTTCAAGAAAAAGAAAGAAAACATAAGATTATTTGACAGCTTTTTAAAATATATAATAAATCTAGCAACATAATGATACCACTCATCACTAATTAATGTCATATAATGACATTATGTGGATGATGTTTTATATCAAATGATGAAATTTGCATTTACTGTAACACATCGTTATGTGAAGAAAAAAGGAAAAATAGTTGATAAAAAAAATTGTCAAATAAAGTGTGACGACTTCTGTAAATGTAAAGGAAGCATTAATAGACAATAACATTTCGTTGAATTGTTATTTCAAATTCTTTTTCTTGAAACAACCCAAATTCAAAAAGAACATTCATTCTCTGAAGTAATTTATATGATTTCCGTTACTTTTAATCTTACTTTATTTCTGGAACGTCATATTTGAAGATACAACAATTACTCGACAGATTGCAAAAAATAAATATTTTTTCAATGCTGTGAAGTTTATTGAATTATCAAATGATTTATGAAATAGCGATCCATCAATACTGTTAATGGTCCATCATTAAGATTGGAATTACAAAAATTGTATCAATGGTTTGAACTTCAACCTCACAATAAACACTGTTATTTTAAGAAGAATTGATATCGAGGAAGCATTAGAAAGAAATAAAGCAAGTATTACACTAGAACATTATACAAGGGTGGTTCATCCAAGTATTCACTAAACTTCTAGCTTATTATGACTGATTATCATCAGTTATCCAAATAAGCAGCATTATCAAATGTTTCAATCATAAAATTATGGGAGCTCAAGAAGTAACTATTTGTTTATTATTATATTATTAAGTATTTGTGAATATCCAATGATTTCTATATAAAAACAAAAAGAAAAAAATGATTAGTATCTAAAAAATTGGAACCTTTAATGTAAGAAATATTGTAAGCTTCTGTTGAAGTAACTATGCGCCATATTTGCTGAAAATTAGCTCATTGTAAAAAATATATATTGCATTTCACAGTGTGACGTACAGTTTTGCTAAGTGAAAATTTTTAATGTGAGCATTTTATGCATTTATAAATTCATTTGAATGATCAAAACAATATCACTCGTTTTCTTCCTCTTTCTGCTCGGTTGCTTAGCTTCTCAGCTCTTTTTTTCACTTTTCTATCAATTATTTGTTAAGAATTAATTTAAATATGCTTCTTTTGGTGAAGACAGAAAGGAATGGAATAGCATTTTAACTCGCTGATCTCTACTATTACATAATTTAACTTTAATTTGGGAATGAAAAATGATGCTGTTTAAAGTGACTGTAAACTAATTTTATTTTTAGTAGACTTCAGTATCTGCTCAAGAATAATAAAAAAACTTCATTTTTATAACAATCAAGTGAGGAAGGTAAAGTGTTTTATGATTCTATCATCATGAAAATAGAAAATAAAATACATCCAAGTTAACTAAATTGATAACAAATTTCATGAGCTAAATTCTGTATCTGCTTACCGATGAATACTTATTCTATTTCTTCAATCCATTAAACATCTTATAGATTCTTTTAACATTTAATTTTACTATTATGAAAGGAATTAAATCGCTTAACAATGATTTTGTGTCCTATTAAATTATAATTTCGAATGTTTTCACAGCAGAAAATGCATCGTAATGTAATCGTTGCAAGTCCAATTAAATTTTTCGCTTTTCATTTTTGGTATTTTGACCTTTGCTATATTGATTTGAAAAAAAAAACCCTGTAGAGGGCTTTTATATGACTTTAAATGGTTCGAAATTTGTGCTTTTTCCAGAAAATCATTTTCGAATCCTGTCATATTACATCAAGTCATATCATCCATCATATGTTTCTATTTTTTACATAATTAGGATGAAATATAGAATTTAATTATTTTTCCTCCTATGTTACATATTATCTGCTTTTTACACAATTAGGATAAAATTATAGAATAGGGACGTTATGTTTGACGAAGACTCGGCATCAGAACAGGATGAGAAACCAAGGAATTTATTCGAGGAGAGAAAACGTCTCATGCAGGAACGAATTAATAGTGTGAAGCAAAGTATGCTTAATTTGCGCATTAGATTGCGTGAAACTACCACTGTAAGCAATTTAAAAGTACCAAATTCTTTTTATGATTTTCTCTTTTTTTTTCCTTTTTTTCACTAGTCTAAAAATGCTAAGGAAGTGCACCGTATATTCGACCGCGTTACGTATTTGCAAAACATCGCAGATCAAGATGCGGAAAATTTGATAATCGAGTTGGAAGAATCACGAAGAATCCGCCAAAAAAAGGTTAACTTCAAAAAAAAAAACATACACTTTTCAGGGAACAACGTCATACTAATCTGGCCCTTCAAGCTTCTGCAAGAAACATTGTTTTAATTCTAAGTGCAAGTATAAAGCATAACTAATTAATGACTGTAGATTCTCGAGAACAGAATTCTTCTGGAAAGATCGAAGTGCATCTTGGATGAATCCTTGAGTCTGCTGACGAAATTTGAAGAATTTGTTATAAATGGTCGTGAGCGGCAGCAACCTCCTTCATTATCCTCGGCATTAACAAATGACAACAAAAATTAAGCTATCATTCTATATTTCGCAAAAATCACAATGAAATTGCTAGTAGTGCAAGTAGAGTGCAGCAAAAAAAGCTTATTTACTTATTTACAGAACTAATTTCCTAATTTTCCGAAGTGTCGCATGATAAAAGTAAACCGTACTGATTGATACTTACTAGTATGAATTTTAGGCTTCGTGATGCGGATGGAAACACATGGATGGAAGTGGATCATGATCAACCTGGTAAGAAGTTCAGCTTAAATTTTAATTTGTAGCTATCAGGGGATTCTTATTCTGATTAGCAGGTGAGGACTTCAAACAAATTAGTGACTATATTTTAATCCACAAAAAAAACTCAATTTTATTTCACAACCAAACTTTTTCAAGGATGTTCGGGATATCACATTACAGACGGCAATAAAAACGATGACACTAACAAGAAATTCAAGTGAAGAGTCTGCAGAAAGTAATAAAAAATAACAGTGAACTAATTGTCCAAAATATTTTGAGTTTTCCTCTACTAATTTGAAATTATTCAATTCAAAAATTTAAATCTTTTTTTGAAGTGAAAAAATGCAACGAATTAGAGCTTTTTTATCCAGAACATTTTCTTAATTTAATATTTTATCTTTATCAGTAAGCACCAATTAGCAATATCATTGATAAACATAATTGGTGATTACAGATCATTAAGGTTACAATGGAGATAATTATAAGTTAATTTACAACTGTTTATAAAATTTGGTACCAGTGAAAGTAGTAAAACATGTTCAAACATATTTAACTCGATAGGACGTTAAATATTTATAATTCCTTGTGCCAAGCATTCTTTTTTTACTGCTGTAAAGCATTTAATGATTAGTGTTTTCCTGAAGCGCATGCAAAAATGCCCGCTACACGCACGTGTATTTTATACTATTAATTTTCTGTACTCTAAAAGTACTCTTTTTTATCACACAATATTTTATGTAAGGTTTGGATTTATCACACATACGTATTTACCATGTATTTGTCACGCATACGTATTTATCATATTTATTGTAAAAATTTATTGTACATGCGTTATTTATCATACAACCACTTATGGAATACACGTATTTATCACACACATGCGTATTTACTACGCACATTGTTGTCACACATACGAAAGATGTACAAAAAGGCGTAGAAAATGCAGGTCACGCATACATCAGATATTCAAGAGGGATGAAAGTTTTCATTGCGTTCACTGGTTAAGAGTCTTTGATTTGTCGTCAGGCATAGTGTCCGAAAGGGTGGAGCTGTCGAGGTTTGTTTTCATCTGTCCGGAGTTTGCGTTACGTTGAATTGGAGTAGAATATAGGATCTGGTAGGATTAAGTGTAATAGGCAATGACAATAAATATCATTACGTGATTTGATTTGTTAATTTACATATTATTATGAAGTTGTTTCAGAATTTTTCTCGACAACTCCATTCTTTGAAACATTTATATCATTAGTTATACAATGAGTCGCAGGTTTGTTATTTACTTTATTAGTTTAGTGCTAGTGCTGTTTATGCAGTTATGAAGTTCACATACGTGATGTATGTTACGTCACAGTATTAATGTAATGACGGTTAATACCGCAGAAGCGTAACGGAAGGATAACGTATAAGCTTCTGACCAGCCGAGAAGGTATTGTAGTCGAGTTTGATGGCCCAAAGTACCTAATAGTGGTTGATTAAATGACATAGCTGGAAAACTGTGTATTAACCTTTTTTGGGAGACCAGTCGACCTATTATTTTCTTTTTATGATCAGGAAATGCGTTTTACTGATGATCGGATAGTTTTAGTTGTCTTGAATCGTCCGGTATATTCTCCACAATTTTGGACTTTTTTGTTTCCCAATTACAGTTCAATAAACAAACATAGGGACTGCTGGGACTCGATCTATAAGCGGACTGTGATTCAAGAGAATTTACCCATACAGCAGTTGTTGGGGGAGGATACTTTACGCAAATTTAATTGTTGTAGGATTGCAACTTTGCACTCAACGGGTAAAAAAACCAGGAGCAGGAGCAGTAGTCCATCTAGTAATGATGGAAAGCGCCAGCAAGGATTTTATGTCGGCGGTAGCGAACAGAGGTAAGCTTGATTCGTTGTGAACTTTCTGCGAGGATCAACTAAGGTATATCTCCACAGCTCTTTGAACCACTTCGCTTTGTTCTATTATAACTTGGTGAAAATGAAAGTCTGAATCCCGAATTTAGAAGATAGTGATTCAGTTAATAAGAATTTAAGTAGGACATCATAATATATTTACGTAATATAGGCTCGTTATTATTTTAAACTATTTCAGTGGAAATCTAGTGCTTGAGCCAGATAGTTCACGTAACGAGGATTTCGTTTCACAGTTCTTCAATTCAGCTCGTGCTCGTGGTGCTGAATCTCTGACATCAGAAGAATGTACAAAATCAGGAGCTCATGACATAGTGAAGTTATCTTCGGGTATTAAGGGTTACCGTTTGGGGGGTGCTGTACAACAACCATCCGAGTTGGTTGAATCAAATGGTTCTACTCCAGTAAGCATTTTAATGTTTCTAATTGAGTTTTTGAATTACGTTTTAATAATCTTTTTATTGATGTGCATTTAGGATATCTATTCCATTTCTGTTTCAGCAAGATGTGACACTTGTCATGTGGGAAAATGGATTTACTGTAGATGGTGGTCCACTTCGATTGTACAGTGACATGCGAAATCATTCGTTTTTACAAACGATTGGCGAAGGGTAACTTTCAGCTCTACGGAGTCGTTTTTTTTTTTTTTTTTTCTATGTCTACTCTTGAGAAGTTTTGGACTTTGTAAGGGTGTACGTTCTGTTAGGTGCTAATATATATGCATCACTTTTTTAGAAACTAGAATCGCAGCGAATTTATTAGATCTTCCAGCAAAACAACAAATCTGAAATTCTGGTGACTTAAGCATTTAATTAGTTGTGGTTTTGGCTATCGTATTAATAAAAACAGTGGCATATGACAAAAAAAAGATGATACATCAAAAGCTCGAAGAAGTCTTGTGCCTTGTGATTAGTTAAACTGAAGAAATCAGCCCTAAACACCTGGATGGTAAGCTATACATTGATATTGGATGGTAAGCTGGATGGTAAGCTATACGATTGATATTGATATAATTAAATCCCTTTAAAAAATTCACTTATTATCGCGTAGTCAGTTTAGACGCGTACCGGGCGAAATAATACGGCAGTATCCGGGCAAAATTATTTACCTTCGAATGGAACGTCGAAGCGAACCACGTGTAGTTGAATCGAAACCCTTTACTGGAGAAGGGCAAAGATTAGGTGAACTTGTTCCAACCGTTTTTTCTACAAGAAATTTGGAGCAAAAAACGAGTAATAGTGCTAATCCAGCGAACAATGGATTTGTAGGTAATCTGTGTTTATAACGTTTTAGCGAGGCAAATTTGGGGTGGCCTTTTGTTTGTCTTAATATTTATCCTTAATAAATAACAGAAAATTTCATTTTTTAGGGTAATAGTATTGTATTGAATTGCGTTTTGTCCACTCTCTCGTATTTCAGGATTTACGCATCTTGGAATGCACTTCTTAAGTTTGCCATTTACTTTACAAAGTGTCACTGCATGAATATCATTCAGTGATTTAGAATAATTAGTTTTAGTGATTTTTAGATTCTAATGACATTAAGAAAGCTCAGGAAGCGACGAAATTAAATGATGAGGAACCTATAACACAAGTGCAAATTCGACTGCCGAGTGGAGAGCGGATTGTTGGGAAATTCAATCATAATCATACTGTTGGAGATATTCGAAATTTTGTCGTAATGTGAGTCTATTTCCAAATGTAATTTTTATTCGTGAACTGTGTGAACAACTGCAACTAAGCATGGTATCAACTGTTACAATATTTTTTAGCGCCGCACCAGTTTATGCCTTCCAGCCGTTCAATTTGATGACAACCTTTCCGAATAAGATGATTGAACAAGAAAACATTTCTTTGAAAGATGCAGGTTTATTGAATGCAGTTATTGTTGCGAAACTTGTGTAATTCATGTTCTGCATAATTCTATGTTTTATATTCTTTCACTTGTTTAAACGGCAACTTATCTGTTTTGTTGTGACGTTTGAGTAATGCCAATATACCAACACATGGATAAGGAAACTTTTCACATGACGGAAGGAGAATATCATGATATTTGCTTTTTCTACTTTTTCATGTAATAGTGATCTGAATTACTATGTTAAAGGACTAATAAAATTTCATTTGGTTAGCGTGCACTTCACTGGCTTTCCACTTTCTTTATATCTTATTGTGACTTAACTTTCGTAGAGTTGATGATGCATAATCACTCGAATCTTCGATTTTGAATTTAAAGGGGAAGGAAGAGAACTGGAATTTTTTTTTTCTTTTTTTGAGGAAGAAGGAAGGAAAAAAGTGTGTCATGATGTGTTTCATATCGTGAATTTTTTTTCGGAAAAATTTGACTGATTTTAATGATCAGTGGCGCCGTAAGCATTCGACGCATTGCACTAATAATACAGTTATTCTGTGCATTACTGGGCTGACATCTCTTCTGTGTGCTATTGTCAGCATAATGTAAACATGCGTTCGTTTCTAGTTAACGTTCTTCAGAACCGTGACTCATGCAATATTAAAAACTGGACTATAGTGGAGTTAATTTTCGTGGATTTAAACTAGTGATTTCCTACTCGTACTGTGCGGTTTTTATTCATATCGCATAATTTCGAGAGTCTTTGCTTTTCCGTGATAGTATTTTGTTTAATATATGTGCCATGCCTTTTTAGATTCTTATGAGTTTGAAAGAGATTCTTGGTTTACAAGTATGGACAAAATTCTTTCAAATAGTTAAAGGTTGTGGTGGATGGATTGGTTTCACGAAGAAACGTTATTTGTAAGCATGTCTAGAATGTTTTACTGTAATTGTGTGTTATTAGATAGTTGCTGACAGTGGAATAGATCTCATTTATGGTTTTCCATATTCAAATACTTACCGTCTTTTTTT